ACTCTTGTAAGACCTGCCATAGGTTTCTGAATAACTGGAAGTGATCAAAACCTTGGTTTTCTGCTTAACCTGATTCATTCATTTTATTGTTCCACTACTGATTTTGATTTTCTGAATCATTGACATTGCTTCCTTTGAAATTTTTGGTTTTCATGGTAGATGTTAGTTTCTGTTATTTGAGGACAGGTAATCTTGCTTACTGAGTGAGATCCAACAAAAATGTTCATCTTGGCAGCATGGCAATAAAAAATTAGCTCCATGTGCACAAGAAAACAATAAAGTATACTCCTTTAGGTAAAATTATTATTTAGTTATCAAATTGATACATTTTATGAAATTAAGAAAATGAAATATTTTGACAAATATATAAAGAACATTTCTGTAGCAATTTAAAGTGACTTTCAATCTGTCAAAAAGCAAAAGGACATCTTTTAATGTTAGCAGCTAAGTATATTTTGTGTGTGTGTGTAACATATATAATCAACCTCCTTGTGGCATTTAGAAAGTGCCTATTTTAGTTACTCTGATTGAGGTCAGGAGTTCATTGATGACACCTTCAGGAGGTGGTGTACTGCTCTGTATATGCTTTTCTGAATTTTCATCATGGACATATTTCTGCTATCAGGGAAAGCTGCATCAGGTAGATTTGCCTTATGGGCATATATCTAATGCCATTTCATCATTGCCTGAGTTTTGATATTAATCTTCCCTCTGGGAATTCAGAATCATTCAACAGATATGAAAGTTTTATACACAATGTCATACATTTTCCCTTGCTTTTTTTCCAGAAATATAAAGAAAAAGCTCTAGATTTGAATTAAGAATCTTTCCTTTTTCATGTTTTATTAAGACTCCTGTGCGCTGGTGCTCGTATTCATAATGACATTCATTCGGAGTAGAAACTGTTGTTTTGTTGTCAACCTTACTGACTTGGAGATAGCCAGATTATCTGCTGTTCATTAAACTTTGGGCATCTATACAAGTCCTCTTCTCTTTCCTCCGTTTTTATAGACTAGGACTACAATATTTGCACAGTGAATTAATGGAGAAAAGCATGGTAACAGCTATACACCATGCTCTTTAAGATTTAGAATTACTTAGCTGAAGATATTTGTTATAGGTTGAAGTTTGGCATGTGGAATACTGATGGAGCAAGAGAAAGGCAGAATTTTTTAAAAGCAAGAAAAGATTAAGGTTGCCTTCTTTAATTTACAGTAAAGGACAAGATATTGGATTGAGAGTCCTTTCCCCTTTTATGGTTAAATTAAAATATGCACCACATCTTTACGTTTGAAGATGACATTTTGCCAACTTTAGTTCATTGTTGGTTGATGCTGTGGCATATTTCTTAAAGTAGGAAAATATTTGTTTAAAAAATTATCATTTCTTGTACACAGGGAGCAATTTATTGTACTTTAAGGAAAGGTTTAAGAGTATATTTTATCATGTGGATGATGTTTGTAGTGTAGATAAAGCTACTATGGTTTCAGGTTCCTGTAATCTATTCATTCTTAATTTTCAAATAGTAGATTTGCTTCACAGTATTTAGAGGTAGAAATTAATCTGTAATTCCTGAATGCCTTTCCCTGTTAAGACATAATCCCTAAATGTTTCAAGAGGCAGCAGGACACTTATAAATGTTGTGTCCAGGTACTTACATGGCTGCTGTTGCCTCAGCGCTGGCCTACTTTTAAGTTTTACTGTAAGTATTCTGCTTAAGGGCTAAGGGGTGTGTGTCAGTGGGTAAATCTACACAAGTTTTTTACTGTGGAGCTGACTAATTAGCTCTGCAGTGAAGTCTCAGTGTCTGCACATGCAGCCCTATTAGGCCATAGTAACATAATAAATTCCACTGTAGGATAGTACATGTCAACACAAGTACTATCCTGTGGTATCATGATTTAGTATGTTGCAATGCATATGTAGATGCTAACAGGACTGGCTGGAGCACAAGGGTGCTTTAGTGCAGAGACTACCTGCTGGCTAGCCCTGCACTGGGGTACCCTCATGCCCCAGCTAGCCCATCCTCAGCATCTTAAGCTGGGTCAGAGCAGCCCCAGGCTGGCAGGCTGACTCCTGGGTCCCTTAGCAGCCAGGGCTGCTCTGATCCAGCTCAACATGCTGCAATTATGGGCACACATGCAAACGCAGCACCCAGGAGCAGTAAGTTCTGGTGTGAACTGTGCCGGAGTTTATTCAGTTGCATTAATTGCGTGTAGACACTCCCTGTGTGTTTAACTGACATAATTATACCTGTGGATATGGCTGCATAACAGTGATTTTTGTCAGACTGCTCATCTCCCTTCTTGTTTGGGTTTACATATACCAGTATAAAACACCTTTAGTAGACAGACCTAAAACTTAATTAGACAAATTGTACTGATATAAGCTGTTTCAGTGTAACTGTTATATCTGCCCAATGAAGCTGAAGTGGACCTAAACTTTTGTAAATTAAAACTATTTTCTATGGGTTTAATTTAGAGGGGATTAGCTCAGTTTTACTGATCTGGAAGCAGAGAAATAAAACTTAAATTGGGACACCTGGTGTATACTTGTGAATGACAAGTCCATGTACCAACTCTTTAAAACAGGGGCAGGCAATTATTTCAGGCAGAGAGCTGCTTAACAGGGTTGGTGAGCTGTCGAGGGCTGCATGAGTAGCCTCGCCCCTTGCCAGGTGTCCCACTCTCTGACTGCCATCTTGGGACCAGAAGTCCCACCCTTAACCCTTGACTTTTGTCTCTGCCCTTGCCCCCTGGTAGTATTCCTTTTGAGAGGGGGGAACCAGAAAAAAAACAAATTACACACTGAAAGTCAAACACCTACCGTAACATATTTAAATTTTATTTTAAAAATATTTTGTCATAATTTGTGTTTGTGTACTGTATATAGAGATGATTGCATAATAACTCAAAAATAAATTCTTAGTCTTTTATATTGTGTGGGTGGGTGTGGTTGGGGTCTGTGGTGGGGTGTAGGGGTGTTTATGGTGGGGTGAGGGTGTGGGGGGCATGTGGGGGAAGTTTGTGAGGGAGTGTGGCTGTGTGGGGGTGTAGGGTATGTTGGGGGTTATGTGGCGTTTGTGGGGTGTGGGTGAGTGACTGTGGAACACACTGTCCTCTTCTGTAGTCAACGCAGGCCATACTGGGGGGGGGACATGTGTGTGTGTGTCTGTCTGTTTGTCTGCGTGCATGGTTTGTGGAGGGTGAGGGAGGGTGGGAGCGGTGTGGGGACCACCCCCCCCACTCCCTTCATGGCACAGCAGAAGGTGAGGGTGCTGGTGCTTGGCTCTGGCTAGTGCTGCACATTACAGCGAAGAGCACAGCCCCTACCGGGCCGTTTGTTTCCCCAGCAGTCCCCACACTTGTGGGACACAGGAGGGAAGCCTCAGGCGCTGGAGCTAGTTGCTTTCCCTGACCCAGCCTGCTCCAGTGCCTGTGGCTTCCCCCCTGTGCCCTGTGAGTGTGGGGAGTGCCGGGGAAACAAATGGCCCCGCAGGGGTGCGCTCCTCGCAGTGCTGGCCGGAGTCAGGAGCCAGGCACCAGTGCCGAGCAGAGTGCCTCCTCCCTCCCCCCCGGTTTTACTGCTGCCCCCCATTGCCTGCCAGGGCTGTGCACCATGGAGGGGTATGGGAGGGATTTCCATACCTCTCCCCCTCACACCCACATGCTGCCCACCTGAACTCCATGCTGTTGCTGCCCCCCTGGGTGATGGCTCCGTGCTGAAGCCAGCCCCGCACTCCATGCTCCCACCCAGCTGCAGCCCTGCCCCTGCCCCCACTTCTTTACCCACTGCCTGGAGGGAGTGGGACGCCGGGGAAGCCTACAGCAGCAGCTCCATCCTCAGTTAGCGGGGCTGGCCCTTCTGCCCACGAGGGTGGGGGTGAGGCATAATAGGAAATGTTGGGGGTGGGTGTAGATGCCTCGCTCCCACCCTCGTGGGCAGAAGGACTAGACGGGTCACAATTCGTTGCGGGGTGCCGCAGACTGGATGAAACTGCCTGGCGGGCTGGATGTGGCCCACATGTTATATTTTGCCCACCCCTGCTTCAAAATGATTTAAAGTTTTATGTCTATGAATAGCCTGAAACTGATGAAGCTGTGTCCATACTATAGGGATTGTGTTATTTCAATTCTGGTATATTTGTTTTCTAGTGTAGACAAGCCCTTACTATCTGAGCATTTCATTGTCATTGATGCATTCATCCTCACAGCACTTTGGTGTTATTATCTTCATTGAATAAAACTGAGATGCAGAGAGGTTAAATGTACATATCAAAATGACAGCAGCAGGCTAGCAGCAGAGCTGCGTGTTTAACTTAATGTGAGGACAATGTGATCTGGGAACATGAGGAATCCTGCATGGCTTCTATGCTCCACCTGTCACAGAGAGACAGAGGTAGAGATTTATGACTGCTGAGACTTTGTCCATGTGATCTCATTGTTTTCTTAATTACATATTTAATGTAACCAGCAAAGTGTGTGTTGTTTATAAAAAACCTTTATGAAATACTGTTTAGTGGTTTACCTTTGTTCAAAGAAAATGCATTTTCAGTCTAAGAGATTGATAACATCCATTTAAAACATATTATGACTTGAAATACACTGCAAAACCTGGTGATGATCTGATAGATTGCAGTGTAATGACCCATGAATTACACAGTGTGAAATTTCCCTCAACTTTAATATTCAAATTAGATTTTCTCCACAAACATTTAAAAGGTTGTGATGCTATGTGTGTGCGAATGAGACAAGATAAACCATCATTTTGGATAACCTTTTTCAGTGGGTTATTGAGAGAGTTGCCTGTAATAAGATTCAGTAGAGGAGAAAAATTAAGACCAACTCAAAACTTTCCTGGCTTTCATTACTGCTGTTGAAGCTATTGTTTGGATGTTTAGTTGCTTAATTTCCCATGTTTTCTATGTAATCTACTGATGTTGCAATTGTTTGTTTCCTTCTCTTTTCCTGTCCACCCCTGCTCTCCAAATGCATCTGCAGGACGTAATTTCTGTACTGCTAAGGATCTTGCAGAAGAAATTAGATCATTAACATCTGAGAAAGAAGGGCTGGAGGGACTTCTCCAAGAGCTCTTGGTACTGAGTGCCAGAAATGTCCGAAAATTAGAGAGAATTAAAGAAGATTACAACAGACTGAAACAAGAACTGGAGCAGGGGGAGTCTGCCTTTGGTAAGCAGTTCACCAGCTGTCGCATGATTGAAGCCTTGCTTGTGCTCTGTTGTGGATGATCCAGGATTCTGCTTGATTTGATGAACAGCCCTGTGAAATGTGACATGCAGAATGTACCATTTTTTAGGAGGGAAATTTTGGCAGGACCTTGATAAACAGTAGGTTGAACATGCTGTCAGGCTTTGTCTTGTCATTCATGAGTGACATTTTTTCTGGCTTTGTACACATTCGGTGCAGAATGGTTCCAGCATTTTTCTTAGCCCTGGTTTTTAAAAAGTCTCTCAGGCTGAAACCTACTTAATAATATTGGTTTATATGCATCTACCTCATATACATGATAAAATAACAACTTGTCTATAAACTTGTCCATTGCCTCTGGAAAATTGGGTTGCTCACAGCAGTAGCAGCCCTTGCAGGGAGCCTTTAATGCCATTGAATGTTGAGTTCAGGTGTGCCTTGTGAAAGGATGTAATTCTCTGTCAGGCACAAGGTTTTGAAAACAAAGGTCTTTACTTAAATCAAAGATTAAGGAGGATTTAAATGGTTTAGCAGTTAAAACTTGCATCTAAACATAAGCAACAATGTGACTTACTATATTTCACAGCAGAAAAAAGATATTTGACCAGTGATCATCTAAATGCAATTGACAGAGTAAGGAAGTAGCAAGGATAATTCTAGGTGCAGTAGAACCTGCCATCCCCTCTTGAAGTTATCAGATAAAGTGGCTTTCTGGCTTGTTTAAACAAATACCTGAGCAGTATTTAATTGATTACAAATGTATGAGTACTGCATTTCCTCTAACATTAAAATGCAAACTGAGAGATGCACTCTTGGGAAAGGTTTAGAGTTAGTTTCAAGGATTTGAAACCTCAGAGTGTTTTTTGGGTAGGGGAAGAGGGACAAGTATTGCTCTCTTGGAAAACAGTAGCTTGTGTTTCCTAGGTAACCAGTCAACCAAGCTACCTTAAAACCAAGAGAGAGAGATTTTGTAGGCCATTAAGACTTGCTTTTAAAATTACATGAAAGAATGGAAAGAAGAATAGTCCTCTACAGTGCTAGATAGGTGTCCATTCTATTAGAAACAAGAAAAGATCCAGAAGAGGCATACAAATTTTTATTTGTGTTCCTTCAAAATGTACGTGCTGTACTCAGGAAATGTAATTCAAAAGTAGATAATGCAGCATGCTTCATTATTAGTTGGGTTTGCCAGTGGATTGAAGAGCTTTGTCACCTTCAAAGCTGTGCATTTCGAATTACTACTTAGTCTAAGTTAACCAAATGGAATTTCTTTAAATCATTATTTTCCCAATGGTACATACTGCAGCTGAGTTTGTATTCAGTAATCTTTTAGACTAATATCTATGTGAGTTTACTGAAGTACCAGAATTGGTAGCAGTTTAAAGATTGTTAGTTTCTTCCTCCTGTCCCTCTTTTTTTTTTATTTAATTATAGATATTTTGTTGATACCTACTGCATATTATAACTATAGTAGATTGAAAAAAATTGGCATCTTGTACCCTAGAGACTTTCTTTAAATAATTGTGATAGTTTGTGAATAAATGCAGAAAGCTTTTTTCCTGTGTGAAATGAAACTTATAGAGCTAAAATTACTCAAAAGTACATAAATAATTAAATGTTAATATTTTGTTTTCATTGTATCATCTAACCTATTTTCTTCTTTATGAGGTAGATCGTCCTTTAGGTCATGGACATTTAGCATGATTTAAATATTAGGAAATTTAGTTGAAAACCAAACTTTCACTTTTACTGCGATAAAGGTATTGTATTTTTTTAAACAAGACATTCTGTTTTAGGAATGAGTTGTCATTTCACCTAATACTTTAATGTCTGAAAAATAAAACACAAGCAAGTGGAATGGGATTTTTACTACAGAATAATTTAAACTGCAGATGGCATATAACCACTGAGAAGGCTTTTTCTGTGATTGCTGGTTCTTTTTCCCCCTTCAATGTTGCTCTCCCTTTCCAATGGCAGTCTGATTGGTGATGAGGATGATTTTTTTAGGATTGTTGTTGCAGTTAACTTTTAGCAACTGACAATTGAAATGAGTTGAATAACTGACTTTGGGCTGCATCAATACTCATCATGAAGTCTATTTTGTAGTAATGCTGGTTCAGAAAAGCTGAGGGAGGAGAAGAGAACTCCCAGTGGAAATGATGACTTTAAGTTTTGTCAGGAAATGTTAATATCCCACCACTCACAGCTCTGACCCCCTTTTATGGTTAACAGGAATATTAAGAAAAGCATACATGGGAAATAGTGCTGAAGGCTAAATGCAAGCTTCTGAACAATGGGCTGGCAAGTTAAAGAGTATCTGTATTATGCAAATGTGTATAATATCCTGCTTATTAATTTGAGTTTAGAAGGCAGTAGCAGACTCTGTAAAGTGAGTTACTACATGCATTACCATTATCCTTAGAAGGCAGCCTGTCATGATTTTAGCTATCTTTGATGTAAAATTATCTTCAGTTTGCTTAAAGAAAAAGCATTGTAAGATGTTAATTTGTTTAAAAGTGAGGTAACAAATAAAACAAAAACATGGAGAAATAAACCTGAATAATCTGATTTGGGTTTTCCAGGATCTGAAACAGAATACTTTTTTTTTGTTAATTCCAGAATATTATTTTTCTTCATCTTTTCCTCTGTACATTCAAGTGTCAGATGTCTCTGTAAACTTTTTTTTTACTGCAGCGCTAGCTCAGAAAATAACTTGAGTGTTGTCTCAAACTCATCTACACATAGATGTATCTAGCTGGAATTAGTTGTGCTTTCCATTTGAACTAGCTATTGCATCAGGGGCTTGGTTTGAAGTTAGAGTGCTGTGACACTTAAGACAAGGATTGGCCTCTCTCTGCTACGAATACAGATTGTTGCTGCTGAAACTATCACATTGCACAGAAAGTTGTATTTGTAGTATGACTGCTTTCACTCAAACTTTGCTTGGGTGCTGTTAATTTGCGCCAACAGCTATGAAAACAAGCCCTCTGTTTGGCCCCTGAATACTTATGGTAGTTTTAATTACATTAATAGCGGAGGAGATAATCTTTCACTATAGGCAGCAGATGCTTCAATTTTTGTTTCTACATAGATAATCAGATCAGTGGTATGTCACTTTATGATCCTCCTACTCTGGCTTTGTGCTTTTCTTTATATATAAAAAAAATCTTTGGAACAATCTTCTCCTTCCCCAGCAGCTTAAGCTCTCCTCTCTTCTCTTCTCCATTCCTGCAACTGCCACAAAGCTTTCCTATAGTGATCTCTTCCTGTACCTGCTTCTGCTTGAGCTTTGTATTTGTAAGTGTGTTGAGAAATGAGTTGTGTTTATAATATTATTTTAGTAGCATATAAACATTTGCTTTTCCTGAGAAATTTGAAACCCTAAAATACATTTATAAATGTGTGCGCTCATGTGCGTGCACATACATGCTTTGGTTTTTTACTGCCTCTCATGTAGAAATTGGTCAACTATTTTGTACTTTATTAATATTGTTGATTTCTCCCTGTAACTCCAATATAAGGAGGCAGACATCAAGGGAAGAGATTTAATCGCACAATAAGGGCTGGAATTTTAAATAGGACACATCATTAGCATGTTAATGAATTTTCTCACTTTGTGCCAGCTGCCCAAGTAGAACAGATATTGCAGATGCAGTGGAAAAATCTGGCTTGGCTTTCTGAGCTGTGAGCTGTCAGGGTTTTGTGGAAAGGAGTTGTTAAGAAATATGAAAGGCTTTTTAATCAAACGATTAAAAACGTTTGTGTTTTTTTCTTTGTATAATAGTAACATCAACTGATAACTTAGTAACTTTTATCTGAGGTTCTCAAAGATCTTTACAAAAATGGTCAAGAACAATTATTTCCATTTCGCTAATATGGAAGTCAAGGCTCAGAGGAGTAGAAACAGTTGGCTTAGGATCACACAAGGCAGGGGTCAGCAACCTATGGCCCACAGGTAAGGTCTGGCCGCTGCAGACGTTTTATCCAGTTTGAAGAACCAGGGGGCTTCAATGGTGTTTTGGCAGTGGGCAGTTTCACTTGCACAGTGGGCAGCACTGAGTGATGGCAGCAGTGGTGATGGCATAAGTGAGTTGGAAGCAATTTGCACTCACAGCTAAGTTCCTTTTAAAGTGCCCCCATGCTCCAAAATGCCTAACATAAGGTTTGCTCCACATTGGCATCACATTATTCTGGAGGTGGCTGCTCAAAACATAAGTCTCACCTACTCACTCTTACTCTGCATACACCAAACCTGGAAATACAGAAATCTGGACACTGTGCTGACACCCCCTGCTGCCAGGCTTGAGACTTCTGTCTTGCAAGACCTCGAAAGTAGAGGCACCCTGGAGCATCCTCAGAATGGCATTTCCGGTTTTGGATGGTGCAGAGGTGGAGTGAGTGGGCGGGACTTGTTTTCTGGCAGCAGCATTGAGACCAAGACGATATAGACACCCCCCTATTGAGATAAAAGAGAGAGTTGGGTATAGAATCCAGATTCCTGCCTCCCACTCTGTTGTTCTAAGCAGACTAATGCTGCATAGAAGCATTTTAGATTAATATAGGAACACAAGACTGGAAAGGGCTGCCTGGGCCAACAAGTCCCAGTCCCCTTTTTTTGCAGACCATCATTTCCCCCAGGTATCCCCAACATCACCACTTCAAGCCTTTCCACAAAATTGCAAGGAACTCTACTGAACAAGCAGGAACAATTAGTGACAGACAGGGGGGACAAGGCTTAGTTCTTCATTGCTGTCATTTACTTGGATTTTAGGAAGGCCTTCAATAAGGTATCTCATCCCATTCTCATAAATAAATTAAGAGGCTGTGACTTAGATAATTACACAGTCCAGTGGGTAGCAAGTTGGCTTGGAGGTTGCACCCAGAGAGTGGTAGTGGATGGGTTGGTATCGACCTGGAAGGATGTGGGTAGTGGGGTCCCACAGGGTTCGGTTCTTGGATCACTCTTCAGTGTCTTCATCAGT